GCCTGGCGCAATATGGTTCATGGGGTCACGAAGAGTCGGACACGACTTAACGACTAAACAACAACAACAATTTGCTGATAAGGACTGAATATATCTATGGACTATTGCTGTTTTTATTCACAATTTGATATTAAGAAGATGCTAAAACTGTTTAAATGCACATATCGAAATCGAGTAGGAAAAAAATGTTCACAATTTTAAAAATATGTATACAATTTTTAAATAAGAGGAGCTTGGTCTCCTTATGATTAAATATATTTAAAAAGTTACTGAACCCCATAATTATCTCTAAGGTAGTCCAAAACAGCAGAAGTACTTGATAAAACATTAAAAATCTTCTTTTCTTGTTTTGAAGTAACCCTTTCTAACATGTACATTAAATGATGATGGAAACATGTGAATGGCGTCCCCTGTTCAAGTGCTATGTCCACCCAGTCCTGGACACATTGTAGAGGGGTGTCTTCATATCCTGCAAACAGAGCTGGGTTTGCTAAGAGCCCTCGAGCAACCATGACACCTATGACAGGAAAAGAAATATATTTCAAAAACCATTACGATGCATTTTCTTTATCTTAAAGCTGGAGTGGATAACTTTTTGGTATCCATAGTTGGTGGCCACAGCTATGCTATTTTAGGGGTGGGGCAGGACCAGAAAAGGAGGGATGATGATGTAAAGTGGTAGGACCATGTTTTTCTTCTTTCCTTCCTGAATCTAAAAGATAGCTTTGTTTCGGTTCATTGTTAAACCTAAGTCTGTCTCAGAATTTACGGTACACAGAATCGTAGAGTTGGAGAAGGCCGTCTAGCCACTAGGTTCCACCTGCTGGTTAGTGCAGGAACCTCCATTAAAGCTTCCCTGATAGAGGACTCCTTACTCTGCTTGAAGACGTCCAATGAAAGGGACTACTACTTTCCTGTCAAAGTGCTCTTGATATTCTAAAGTTCTAACCTTCAGCTGGAATCTGCCTTCTATTTTATTTATTTGTGAAATTAAAAATGCAGATCACGTCACTGTGATAATACTATGTGTGCATGAGAGAGAGACAAAAAAATGAACTAAAGCTTTAAAAAAGGAAAAAGGAAACCCATACAGTAATAAACCACTGGAGAGCCAGTTTGGTGCAGTGGTTAAGGGATCAGGCTAGAAAATGGGAGACGGTGAGTTCTAGTCCCACCTTAGGCACAAAGCCAGCTGGGTGACCTTGGGCCAGT